CTCCTCCTCCTCCTCCTCCTCCTCCCTCCTCCCTCCTCCTCCTCCTCCTCCCTCCTCCTCCTCATCATCAGCATCATCATCATCATCATCATCATCATCATCATCATCATCATCCTTCCTCTCGTCGTCATCCCCATCCCTATCATCATCCTCCTGCTACTCTGAATCTCCCTTCCCGTCCTGCTCCTCTCAAGCCGTTCTGGCCCAGGCGCCTCTTTCGATCGCATCCCAGGGCAGATCCCAGCGCCTGCACGTGGCGGCTTGGGGTGTATGCAGTCTCCTAACCGTACGTTTCGTTCGTTAGCCGATTCGCGTAACGAAGCGGGTCGTCATGCCAGATGGCACATGCTGCTGGCACCAGACTTTGATCGACATGCAAAGTCGGTCAGTCATCCGAATGGAACGACGTCCTGGAATACAGTGGGTTACAAATGCAGCACATGCTATCGGCATAGCAAGATGTATGACCAGAAGTCCAAGAAGAAGGGCGTCGGCGGCGAAGGTGACGATGGTGGTGCCAATTCTCTCCAGATTACGGCCGACGTCAGTAGGATGGGGGGGGAGGTAAGGGCAATACCAAGGGCAAGAGCGGGTCTCGGAGCGGCCAGCTGGCTAATACCACCACCGCCGAGACCCGTGCTCGCCTCCCCCGCATGATCGGCGACACGTCCGACTTAGTCACCAAGAATAGTCTTCTCGAACAGCTGGAGTTGATCGGAAGACAGGCAGTGGCAGTCATCAGCATCAGCGCCACCGACGCGGTCAAGCGGGCGGCGGGGATGTGAAAGAATGTGAGCATGTGTCACGACCAGGCGATTAACCACATCATTCGCCTCAGGCCAAGGAGCGGGAGCTCGCCATGGAGCTCACGTCAGCCGAAGTTGTGAGGCGCCTCGCCGCCAACGCGCTCGCCGTCGAGACGGGCGCAGTCTCCTCTAGTCCAGAGGCGGAGTCCCAGTCAGGCGGTGAAGGTCAGCAGAGCTGGAACGTTCAATGGAACGAAGGGTTCTTTTCCAAGCTGGACAAGTACGAGTGCGAGCCGTCGGAAAAGGAGCAACTCATCGCCATAGATAAGGGACTCTAGCAGGCGCGTAACAAGCTCCAGGAGCGTAGCAGTCAAGTATACCAGCGGAAGGCCGAGTACGAGGATATGTAGAAAGTAATCGCGGAGAGGCAGACCAAGAAGAGGAAGGCTGCGCAAGGATCTGCTCCTGGTGGCAGGGGTGGCGCGAGCGCCACCTGAAGGCGGAGCTGGTGCGGCGGCTTCGCCATCGCAGGAGGAGCTCGAGGCAGCGGCGGCCAAGCTCTCGTCGGCGAAGTTCGCGGCCAAGCAGCTGGGCGCGGAGGCGGCAGCGGCGGGCGGCCGCGCGGGGTCGCCAGGTGACGGCCAACAGGCCGCGCTTGGCGGCCTGCCCGAGGCCAGCGGCAGCCAGGCGCCACCGGCGGGCGAGGCGACGTCCAGGAGTCCTTCAGCTTTCGCGTCGACTGAGCCCAGCTTGTGGCGCAGGCCGTGGCCGTGGCCGTGGTCGGAGACAAAGAGGCCGCTCCCCTCTCTCTCACTTCTTCTTTGGTAATGTCACGTGTCGTGGTCCGCTTACTTGGCAATATCTGACCTCAGCGGCTGTTTTAGCCAAGTACGTGCACTTTAGCTGCGGCTGAATCACATGATTCTGCTTCTAGCGAGGTACATTGGACCGAGGAATCGCGTAAGACTAAGCTCAAGCCTTTCTTTCGCACAGCCAGGCCGAAAGTAGATGCATCTAATCCGAGGTCGATAGCAGGGGGCGAAGCCTTCTTTGCCGGTGGCCTCCCGGCGGCGCACAAAACTGGTGAGCCCAATGAGTTTGGTCCCATGCAAGTGTCTGATTGCGAAGCGTGAGACGAATGTTCACCCGCCCCAGCGTAGTTTAAAAGTTGCAAAATCGTCACCATAGTGTTCTACGGAATCGGTGGACGTTTTGTCGGAGACGGTGCCCAGAGGCTCGCGCGGCTTGGAGCTTTTGCGCATTCACTCCAGCTTCCCTGGATAATCACTGGCGGCTATAATGATTCACCGTCCACGTTGGCCAAGAGCGGGTTCACTAAGCGAATTCACGGTGTGGTGTCTCAAACGGAGGAAGCATACGTGCGTCACTGGCACAGGTGCTTCACACTTTGTGCTCGTTCTAGCCAGTCGTGCAGCTTGTCCGTACATCGACGAGTGGAAGAGGTCTTAGACGTTCGATGGGGGAGCCACTGCGGGATCAGTATGACTCTGCGGAACGAGGGTCTACAGCTTCTCGCTCGGTCTCCACAAGTGCCTCACAAGCTCCCTCAAGCCTCCCGCCATTGCGCCACGCCTCAAGCCAACAGTAAGTCCTGGAGGGCGAAGCGTGAGAAGCAAGAGGCTCGTGCGTTGTCTCAGGCTAGGTTTCGTGAAGCATGTGAGTCCTTTCTCAGGGGTATCTTGCATGCCGAGAGTTCTGGCGGCTCCCCCCCGGCCTCCTCGAGCCCACCACGA